CATAAAGGCAAAAAGTGGGCAATATTCAAATTTAGCAAACACCAAAGTCAATTTTTAAAATTATTAACCTAAAATTTGGTCTGGTTGTAGCTGGGAGTCATAAAAAACACCAAAAAAGATGTGTTGGATTTACTCAAACAAATTAAGTCAACTGGTTCCACTCAGCTGAATTGAGTAAATGTGAAGCAATTGTTTAATTTTCTTTAAAAGTAAATGTGAAGAAAAGCATTTAATCAGTTCAATTGATTGGAACCAGTTGACATCATTTGTCTGAGTAAATCTAACACATACAGTATTTTTGAGTGTACTTAGAGCACTATGAGACCTGYCCATTAACTGTTAGATTTGATCCTATCTGACTACTAGCAACATATCTCTTTCAGACTTTTAGACAGATAAATAAATTTTGCAAAAGTCATTAAYGGATGTACACCTACAGTTAAATAACAGTCAAATAATTGAATATCAGAAAAAGAGCAAATATTCAGTCAATTTCCCTGAAACTGAGCTCAAATTTATTTGTACCTCAAAATCAGGCACAACAATTACTTATTGGGTAAGACTTTTCTTAAAAAATTGAGCTTTCATCATTAAATATATATTTACAACTGGTTATCTATTGATGCCAATCTGTTTCAAAAAGSCTACAGCAACTGGTTAAACTTTGCCAATTCAATACATTTTACTGATACTGAGATAAAATTTGATGTGGTAGTAGCTCAGATTTACCATAAACATGAACACTGAGCGTGACAGCTAACTTTTTTTTACTATAATAACTCTTACTCCTTCAATTCTTGACATAAAACAATTTCAGTTTAAAAGCCTTCATGATGCATTCCTTTATGCATTGCTAAGMTTTTAGTTTCTGTATGGGGTTCAGCACTGAGGAATTGCAAAGGCTGGATTGACGGGGGAACAGTTACACATTTGTTCCACCTCAGTACATCCTGTGTCAGAGCTCTTAACGTAAAATGTCAAAGCAACAGAGWGAGAAAAAAATTGAACGGTGTGGCTTTGGACACAGCACTTGCAGTGTGGAGCAGCTGAACTGGCATTATGTGGCACTACGGTCTTTGTCAGCAAAAAAAGAAAACAAAGAATTCTTCCTGAGTGTGACACTGGATCCTTCAGAAGACAAATAGGGAGTCAGCACAGCCTGCAGCACATCGACACAGTCAGCCGGCTCTGTCCAGACAAATTTCAAACCTCTCTTTGGAACAAAACTGAACACTACCACAGATCCAGCAAGATAAAGAAAAAACTAGAACATCAGAAAGAAGTCAGAAGTCTCCACATGCCCACTGGGCTACTTGCTCTGACCACAAACTGTCCGCAATTTTTTTAAAGTAAATATTTCTAACTGCATGCTAAAGCTTGACACAGCAGAACACTTCACCACAGTGAGCCACTTCTGGCCATTAAAAACAGGAAACTGAATACAGAGGGCTGCAGTGGAGAGTTCAGGAACCTTGTCTGGTCTGATGTTGGGTTTCTTCGGTGTTATTTAAATGTGATCAGAATTCAATTTAGGCCACTTTAAATCTTGAATCTGACTTTTCTTGTGGGAGATATTCTGGCTGCTTGGTGAAGTGAAATGCTGAGACAGRTGTCTTGGCAAACTTTAAATGTCTTTGCTGTATTTGCTACTATTTAAAATTCACTTCAACCTTCTTGTAAACACATTCCCTTTTTTTAAGACTTCATTGTTCCCATTGTTCACTGGTAACAGGCAGTGCCATGACGCTCACACCATCTTGCATGTGTGTGCAGTAATTAGGAAACAGTGCAATGTCTGTCTGGAACGTTTGAATCCAAAAACCTGAATGAAGCTGTGCAACAAGTCGAGGCATTTCTGAAAGGTTCAGAATTGGTCTGGATTATATTCTGGGTTGTTTCCTGACACTTCCTCCTCTATAGGAGGCATGAGGTTCATGTCAGGTTGCTGACCTCTCTCCTCATCACATGTCACGAACCAAGATGTGTAAACTGTGCATACACATACTATTTTATTGTATTTCTGCTATAAACATTTACCTTGTTAGGATCAGTAATACTTATGGGAGCCAAAATCTGGTCCTATTACAGCGGAACATTATTTTTTGGGGGTGTGAATTGGCGGGGTTGGGCAAGTGTGTATGTGATACAGAATTACATCCATGATGAAGTCAATTTTATGCACCTTATATCTCACACATTCATTTCTAATGATTGGTCCTTTTRGACTTAGAATACCACAGATGTACAAAAGTTGATTGAAACAGACAACATTTAATCAAAAAGTATCAAGAATTGATTATGTCTCTTCAGATGCCTCCTGTGGATTTAGTCACAGAGTCTTAAGTCGTGCAAATACAATTATATTTTCAGACAGAAAACTTTGCAAAATTGTTGTAATCAAAGAACTTGAAAGCATTCTCCTCACATGCTTCAACACCAGCATTTTGTTTTACAAAACTGTGAAAATGCTTGTCCTTACCTTTGTATCCAATGTTGCTGTCAGGATCAAGTCCTGTTCCTGAACCAGGTGGGTGTGTGAAGACCTCACGACTCCCTCTGTGTTTTCCTGCATTTGTTTATATGGTGAAAACAATAGCTTGTTAAAAAGATCCGGATATTATCCAGCTTATCTTATGTACGATTGTAAATGGAGTTTAACCATCATCAGAAAACATATTGAAATAGGAAGCAATCACTGTGGCATGACCTTCCAAATAACATTTTGAGCAACACAAAAAACAAGAACTTTGTTGACATTGTTGAAGTTAATCAGACATGTCAAGTAAAAAAAGTAATAAAATAAAACAAGCAAGCAAAATATTAAATAAATAAATAAACAAATAAATAAATAAATAAATAAATAACATGCCCTCAATGCAAAAAACTGAGAAGTTCGTTTTGTGGCTTTACAAAACAACAACAAAAAACTGTGTGACCATAACTAATCAGAAATGTTGAAACTTGTCTCAAACCTAGTGTCTGTTTACAATAATGGAATGGCTGCATGCACATTAAAGTTGTACCACTAGAGAGAGCAATTGAGTTATTTTGTTGTGGGCATGAATAACAGAACACTTTATTTACTTACTAACTCACTTACACACTTACTCACTCACTCACTCACTCACTCACTCACTCACTTAATTAATTACTCACTCACTCACTCACTCACTCACTTACTTACTCAATCACTCACTCACTCACTCACTCACTCACTCACTCACTCACTCACTCACTTACTTAATTACTTACTCACTCACTCACTCACTCACTCACTCACTCACTCACTCACTCACTTACTTACTTACTAACTTACTTACTTACTTATTGTCATGCTAGTGGTAGGCCATTTGAAGTCCTGCAGAGATATTCTGCTCTAACTACTGTAACATGGTCTTATATGCACTAACAATCATGTTTCCAGTTGAAATAATTGRACTCAAGAGTTTAAAAATATAAATYTGCTCTTGCCAAAACTAGGAACAGCTGTAGATGTTGAACCAATTATAACCTTAAGAACGTTTCATGAAAATGTGTCCAATGCTTCATGAAATATTTTACTAACAGACAGACAAAGTAGAATCTAAAGGTTWAAGTCAACATTTTAGACAAAAATCTCACACAAGTTGTTGGTGTTCAGACTCAGTATCTGTACAATTGACTTATTTATAAGCATTTCTGTGTTTACAGTCAGTTTGCTMTGGCAGCCATCTTGATTCATGTTGACTCCAAAATAGTAATCAGTTGCAGATACACCTCTGGTTATCTTCTGAGAATGATGTTTAAATTTATCCACTTATTCATTCAATATTTTGCTAACAGACAGACACTTTTTACAGCTGCAGGTGTTAACTATGGTGTAAACAGTTAACATCCAAATAAGATTGGCAATTACCCAAAACCCTCCTTCCATTCTTCCCTCGCTGTCTCACTAATAAGATTCTCACCTGATGAGATSTCCATCCCCTCTCCCAGCTCCAGCTGGATGACACAAAGCATGCTGATGAGGAACGATACGTGAACTGCCAGCATAGTCTCAAAAGACCCAGTTTGCCGTCAGGAAAACCCTCATAAATCTGAAAAAGGAGACAGCTTTGTTACGGCTGTTGTCATTGTTTCGATCCACAAATAATCCATGAAAAATATAATGTTATAGACAGTAATGCTGAGGAAGGTTATACTGTACCTCATGAAATGATTTTTTTAAGATAAAAAACAAAACATGAGTGCATTTTGTGTGCATATATCCTGCTGGCAAATTTCACGTTTTGTGTGAAATTCCACTATATTAGAGAGAGAGAGGCAAACAGATGGACTTTCCTCTGAAACCGACCCAGCAGCCAAACTCTGAGTTTACTTGTTTCACAATAATCCTTCTAATACATAGCAAGGAATGGCAGCATTCCTTTTTTTTCTGTCATATACCAACATTTGGATGAGCTTTCATAGTTAAAACAGGTTGTCTTTGTGCTTTTTTGTCAGAAATGTGTGGAATTTTTTGCTTTGTTGTCAAGCGCTTCAACTAAATTCCACACGCTCAGAAAACAGCCATTGTGAGCGACAATACAAGCGTGGTCCCATTTACCTGCTGCACCCCCCAACCCCTCCAACAGCACAATCCAGGGACACATCACATACACACACAAACAAGTATGAAAACACACCCTCGCTCTCAAGTGGTTCTGGTGATGAGACACGGTGACAGTTCCAGACGAGGGGGGGACAAAAAACAAGGAAGTGACTTCTAGTGATCAGCCATCTGTGGTACAAACAGCTCTGCAGCTCGTCCAATCTGTCTGATGGATTTCCAGATTCATGGGATATCTTGGCACCCCGTGGCCACCGAGTCCAAGCAACACTTTAATTGTTCCGAGATACCAGCCAACTTTGTAGGAATGCCAGAACCTGAGCAAAAAAAAAAAAAAAAAAAATAGAAAAAAGGCAAATTTACCGTGAAAACTGTGATGAAACTATGGTTATTTTCATTTACATTCACTATACCAAGGAATAGGATTTCGTTTTGAGTCATAGTGTCACTTAAAAATTCCAATTCAATTAACTGTTTGGCTTTTACTGTTTGGCAAACATCACCGACAGCTCTGAGTGCAGACTACTGATTGTGGTCTATTGTTGAAGACTACAAATAATAAAGTGTCTGCTGTGAGTCACTTGCAGATGTAAAAGGTAGAGTCAGGTAATTTTTGAAACGATGTTCTGTCAAAAAGCTGTGACCACAGAGATGGAGCATGAAGTACAACAAAGATAGACCAAGAACTAGCCAAACAAGATTTATTATTTTTTTCAACTTGTAAAACAACGTTTTCTGCTAAATTTCTTGCAGTTTTCCCAACTGAATGACATGCATTCTACTCCAGTGTATGTTTGCTCAGCATGCATTACGCATTCGATTGGGACTTATGTAAACTTGTGAACTACCTACGTATATATGCTGATCAGGTAAACTGATGGAGACAAAGCCTGAGCGCTATCAGCATACTTCAGTGGGTAAATGTGCTCCATCATACTGAACCAAGGATTAAGTTCCAAAGTGGTATGTGGAGAAATACTCAGCTATAGTATAAATC